CAAACCATAGTTCATGCGACCACCTGCCCACATATGAGAAAAGCCTTCATCCGATAGAGGACGTGCGGTATAACCATCTGCATCTACCACCAAGTTAAGATCGCAATTATAAGTATCCATGAAGACAGACTCGCTGAATTCCCACCCGTCAGGTTCAGGGCAAATCTTTGGATTTTGGGCGCCTTGCCAACTACGGGAACGATTTGCCCGAGGAGGTGAACGTCTAGAAGAATATGTATCATTGTATTTGCGTTTTTCACCAGACCTCGTGTCGGAACCTTCACGTCTGGGATTCGAACCACCCTCACGTCTGGGGCTAGATTCATTTCTGCGTTTGGGGCTCGAATCACTGGATGAATTCGAATCTCTTTCCTAAGGCAAAGTAAGACAACAAATACTTACCAATCGATCACTTTTAATAACAACCTCTTCGGTGTGCGGCAATTCAGCTTGAGTAGCACTTGGCATATTATGTTGGGTTCCATGAGCAAAGAAGGAGCCACCGGCGTTGACAGAACCACCATTACAGGCATCTTCCTCATCTTCATCAAAAGGCTCTTCAGATTCGTGTAAACCCTCATTGTCGTTGTTGGATACAGCACTTGGGTGGTCAGACTGCAGTACCTTGGACTCATAGGGGACTAGGGAGTAGCGTTAAAATGCACTTACTTTGTAGAGACCCTGTGTATGGACCATCAGAGAGGATGGCCTCCTTAAGCCTCTCCATCAGCGCCTGCTTAACACCAGCCGTGTTTAGGCAACGTCTCTTAAGTTCGTCTCTAAGCTCCTGCACCTTCATCTTCGCCAATTCCTGCATGATATCCATCGGGAAATGGCGACGAGGTGGCGGAAATCGAGAGTGGCCCCAAGAGCAAGTTAAACTAAGAGACAATAAATTTTGCTAGTAGTAGAGATTTAATTTTGAAGTTGTTTGTAAAATATTTAAATTAAACTAAGTAAGAAACTTTAGATGATTGGTACTAGTAAATAGTCTAAATGTTGCTAATTTGGGTTAATATAGCATATTTTTAAATGTATCAGTTAAAAATTTTATTATTTTTTAAAAAAGTTTTTAGGATTTAGCGGCATTTTTGACGCATTTTCGTAGGCCGCTCGTCTCATGGAACACGATCCTCAATATGCTAAAAAATTTGGGAAGGTCTGTTGTTATCAATAGTATCGTATTAACTCAATTACCAAATGAGCGAGCATATATTTGGTCTATTTGAGTTTCTCATTTCCTCTTAGGATCCTGATATCTCACTTAACTATTATGCTTCATCAAGCTTCGTAATTTGTCTATCACCACCAAATATGTAGCACTTACAGAGTTTATACCATCCTTTTAATTAAAAAAAACTGCACAGTTATATGCTGTCATTTATATTTTGCTAGGTTTGCTCCTGAATTCTCTAATTTCTTCGATACTTTATGTTCTTAATCTAATTGCAAATTATATACTTATGCCATAAATTCTATCCTCTGAGACTCTCTAATCCATCGTTGTATTTCTCTGGTTGCTTTTATTCAGCAACTCTTTGACGGTTGGCTTTCCGGTGACAAAAATACCTTTGAAAATATACTCTATGGAGAAATCCGACGTATCGCATATGCTATATGTACTCCGCATATTCTTAGCAAAGAGGAAGCAGCTACTTCTGTTAATTTGTCTTTTCTTTCTTCGATCGGCTCGACCTCGGCTCCCGGACACAGTGGTACTCCAGTTACCGCATCATCAAATCAAGATGGATCTAGGAACAATGCTTCATTGAGCGATCCAGAGTATACAGCTCTACATGCGAGCATATTTTCTGGCTTTGCTTGCTTTCTGGCTGGGGAGAATCAAATTTCGATTGAAAATAACCCATCTCTTTCTTCCACTACTAGTTATCAAGG